ATTTTGTACGTTGTCTTCATCAGCGCTTTTTTTCGATTGTGCGACTGGTTAAGTCAGCCAGCATAATTCCGCTCATTCGTGTTTTTTTAGAAAAGAACATAGCAACTGCTAATTCGAGTTAGATTCATCCTTACTGAAGTTGAGCATAACAGGCCTTTGTACTGTTTTCTAAGAAAAGGTAGAGGATCAACAATCCCCAAGACTGTGCTATAGAAGACCGTTTCTCTATCTGACTAATTCCGCTTTGTGATAGATTTATGGCTTGCAACCAACACATATAAATAATTTTTGAGATAACATTCGCAAAAACCACCACACGCAAACTATGAAATCCCGTTGAGGAGACATCCGCCTAATTAGAAAGAAAACACTGAAACCGTTTTGAATTTGCCTTCTGAGGCTAGTCATAAGGAAAGCACACATTTTACGCGAATGTTACAAAAATTTGTACATATTTAGGTGGCAGTTGATGATACAGATGTCGAGGAATAATCAAGATCTAGTGACGTGATAAAAAGTCAGAACAAAAAGAAACACTGAGGTAGAGGACATCTAACAGGAAGCATTCAAGGAAAGCTAAGACAAAGTGAACAGTCCCCTATAAAAATGAGATGCATAATCATTGCATAATTCCTAGAAAGACAAAAAACAGGCGGTAATTATGACACGATAACATTAAAAGAAGACAACTCAGCTGCTATCCGGCGATGATTCTTCCTAAGACCTGGAATGTAAGTTAGCATGTCTGACTGGAATGACAAAAGGAAAAGTAACCAACCATTGGCCGCTTCCTGGTTACCCTTTTGTAGCAAAGGTTTGGCATCGGAAAGTTTCTCCAGTGCCTGGAATCAATGACTTCCTAAGAAGTGTCACCCCGTGTTTCATGAATGCCTTACTGAAGCCAATTTTGAGATGCTCCAAGCGCCTTTCAGCATGATCTCACAGATAAATTAAAAAATTGTGTCCCACCTTAAATTAGTACTTACCTCGCCGTTCAGAAGCGCTCTCTTCAGCTTTTCATCTTCCAAAACTTCAGGCTTAGGCTCTAAATTATACATCATAAGTTTCAAAAGGGGAGGGGGTGGTATTTTGACACAAGTAACGCTTTTAAACTGGAAGTTACCTTTGAAGCCATTAATGACTTTGCAGCCTCTGCTACGTGTTTGCGTACGCGAAAGATTATCCTAAAATTGAATATATTATATAACACTGCAAGCGAGAGAGAACTCAAACCGACGTCTAGTTTTGAAGGAAGCGAAGTTCTCTTGAAAGTGACAGTTGGCTTTGTCACCTTTCCATTCTTGATTTTTTGTCCTTTGTATGGGCTCCTAGATGAGGAAGACGTTGAGGAGGCCGGCGTAGATTGGCGACTGCGCGCACTAGATCTTTTCTTCTTCGGCGAAGCTAATGAGGACGCGGCTTTTCGTTTTTGCTTTCCTTTTCCTTGCTTTTCGGAATCGTTCGGCACTACTTCCACCTCCGGGACAGCTTTCTCCACTTTTTCATGGACTGAAATTTCAGCGTCAAATATGCAAGGCGAATAATGGGGCTGCCAATTACCTACGGCTCCTAGTGATCCAGTGCAGTTTGGAGCTCCACATTTACAATCGGGTAATGGGCAACCAATGTTATACTGTGTCATTTGGTAATTGAAGCAAAGCTCGGTACCTAAAAATCACCGTCTGGAGGCTAGACAACTTTTCGGAAAATCATGAAAAGTGATGCGCCATTGATAGCTGAAATGCAGAGTTGCTAAACACTTTTTTGTCACCATCACAATTTATCCGCGAAGTTGTTGAAAAGAAATGTTTTTCGAAGACGTATGAAGAGGATGATCATAACGAATAGTTTGCACGGCTTGCGTCAGGCTATCAAGTCCACTTTCCAAACTGTTTCATTTAATCACCCGGATGTTATTCAAAAGAGATGACTTTTGACGAATTTTAGAGGATGATGCGACATGACAAGGTACAATCACACAGTTTCCCTGAGCCCACTGAGACGGGCTTCGCGTGAAGCGGTGATGACGCTGTGCACTTGGTTAGCGCTGGCATGAGTAACTTTAAAAACCGCTTGATACCTCGCACGCTGGTAACACTAATTTACTGTTAAGGCAAGGGCACTTTGCGACGATAATCAAACGGTAGGAAACACTGACAAAAAACCCATCAGTAAATCAAATCAAACATATAAGTTTTGAGCAAACTTGCAATTTCAACCCCTTATTCCTCCCCCGAGCGACACAGCCTTACTGCGCAGCACCATACCAAATCTCTGAACGATCTCTTGATGAGACTGCAAGCATACATGTCAAAACTTATGTCCATAGTGAACGGATTCCTAACTACTTAAATGGTTCGAGCGGAGAAGCAAACATTACAACTTCATAGAGAGTTTTGCTTTTCTAATAAGTATTGTTAAATTGTTGTTGTGTCCTAACCAGAGGAGGACCCATAGTCGAAATCGCCTTTTCAA